ACCACAATTGGTGGTGCAAAGAACATTGAACTCAAACGTTGGCCTCATGCACAGTTTACAGATCATCTACCTGTAATATCTCACTTGGAATAATAGACATGACACGGAAATATATCAATTGCTAATTTCAAATGACAAAACATTAGGAAATTACGGAATGCAAGATGTTCCAAAGTGACAATGCAAAATTCAAAAATCAAAGACAAAACTCCAGAAAATACTCAAATACAGGGATAAAACCCCTGCACTGAAGTAAAAGTCATGGCAGAAACCCCTTTTTGCCCAATTTTCCAGTGGTCTACACCGTTTTCATTGCATTGTCACCTTTTGACAAAAAGTACCAGCAACACCAAAAACCAAAAAATCAAAAACCAAAAAACCAAAATCATAAAATACATTTCTCAAACTGTACAATTCAAACACCAATGTTAGATTCTACCACAGCCAAAAACTACATGTTGGCCAACTAGCTACAAGCTCGGTCTCACAGTTATCAACACCTCCAACCCGAGACATTCTACCATCTGTCTCAAGAGCTTCAAATTACCTGCTTCGTGTCTCGCTCTCCTCCAAAACCTCTTTCATCATCATCAATCCTCTTTGATTGTCCTCGATCTTCTTCTTTCTTTGTCAACTGCCCTTGATCTTCTTCTTTCTTTGTCAACCGTCCTCAATCTTCTTATTTCTTTGTCAACTGTCCTCGATATTCTTATTTCTTTGTCACCCGTCCTTAATCTTCTTTGACCATCCTCGATCTTCATTGATTATCATGAATCTTCTTTGACCGTCCTCAATCTTTGCAATCCTCATCAAATCACCTTCAGTCTCCATCACCAACTACACACCAACATGCCAGCAAAAATATCTGATGAAATCTTGCAACCCCTTGTTGAAGAAGCTGTGGCTAACAACTGGCCAGCACAAACAGTATGCAACACTTTTTGGCAACGGCACAACATCCAAGTCTGTGTAAGAACTGTTGGAAGACAAATCAAAGAATGGGACTTGAAACAACAAGGAAATTATGATGTGGAGGTTGTTATAAAGGATGCAGTATTAGATAATTACAAACAATCTCTGAACCCAAAGCAAGCTCTCATTGCCCTCAAAAACGAACACAACATCATCATCAGCCGGCCAACTTTAGCTTGACTTGAGAAGCAACTCAATCTTCACCGCCAAAAGGATGATCTTGACATGGGTGTAGTAATTTATGCCACCATATGTAACAAGATTGAAGAACTTCAGATTGAATATGGAAATGTACTTGGAATCAAGAGTGTCAAGAAGATGCTAGCTCAGGAACACGAGCTTCACATCCACCGGCAAGTGTTTGGGCATTCTTGATTCATTTTTCTCTGATGCTAATTACATTCCAAATCCACTTTGATATAGTGATGTTTTTGCGGCTATTATGAAGGCAATGGACCCAAATGCTGTCAGAATGAGAGCTGCTCATAAACCCAAGCGACGGGAATACTATGCGGGCGGTCCCAATGAGGTTTGGGCTCCTGATGTACACGACAAGGTTATGAACTTTGGAATTGGTATCTATGGTTTCATTGATTGCTGGTCTGAAAAGATCTTGGGACTTCATGCTCATGTCACCAACAGCGACCCCCGCCATGTTGACTTGTGGTATCTGGGCCGTGTAAACAAGCAAGGTGGCATTCCCAAAAAGCTTACCACTGATTGAGGAACTGAGACTGTTCCTCTTGCTGGACATCAACTTTATCTTGGACAAACTTACAGTTCCAGAGCCCCAAACTGGCCTTATCATCAATATGTTCCATTGCCTTGTAACCAAAGATTGAGTACTTTTGGGACAAAATGACTTGTGGACTGACTGGAAATATCACAGCTAAAATTCAAGAGTGCATTGATCAAGATTTACATGATCAATATGATCCAATGGCTAGGGTGAAGCTGCTTTTTTTTCTTTGGTGGTTCCATGCTGAAATCTTTATTATGGCTTTCCAGGGCCTTGTTTCTCAACCTCTTTATCCCCGTCTTTCATCAAGCTCTGGACAAATGGGTCAAGTTTTACACTGGTTTCTGCAGACAATACGACCAGCGGTCTAAATTACCTACTGGATGTTCTGCAGACTACTTCTGCAAAAACCCCGTTGAAGAATTTGGTGGGATTGATTACCTCATACAAGTGGATGCTATCATTGCTGATGATTACCCGGAGCAAGAACACTTGTGGAGCACAACCCCTGAGTGGTTTTCCCCGGTTGTTGATCAAGTCATGGAAGAAGTTGGAATTTTGAGTGGGGATTTGGACATTGGAAATTTTTGGGGTTCTTTTGATGTTGTATTAGCACGATTGAAAGATTTGTCTTGGAGTAACACTCCCTTTGCCCGTGTTGAAGGTGATGATCTATGGTTTTGGAAAACTGAGTACTTTATTTCGCTATTATCTGCATCTCTGTGTGTTGTAAACTTTGTAATGGTCAGTAGTATTGATTTTTGTGAGCAAAGTAAACACACTACAAGATACAATACTCTTGTTTTTGGAAGAAGAAAAAAAATGACAGAAAAGGACTTTGCAAAGATAGAAAGAACATGTGGTGAAAATTTTGGACTACAAATTCTACATATATTGTTGGACTGATTCATGGAACCCTTGAGCATCTAGACATATTCTGCATAGCATGCATTCACATTGCCTATATTCTCCAAGACATCCATTTTGTGTCGTGGGTTGATGCAATATTTAAGTTGATCCTTGGGAACCAAAAATGCAATTACTTTTCTTGCCAGGGAAGCTTCCTTTTTCTGTACCTGAAGGGCAAACAAAAAGGTTTGCACCTCATGGTGAGTATGTTCCTTTCTTGACACCAAAGCAATTGACTCACATTGAATAGGTGCTGTTCAACTGATTCCCCTGCAACCACATGATACACCTTCACAGGATGGGTCTGGCCTATTTGATGTAGACGGTCAATTGCTTGTTGCACAATCTGCGGATTCCAATGGGCATCCTAATGATATTCATTTTAGCTAAACTTTATGACATTATATAGATAATTAATAACAAACTCACCATCAGGTAGACCTCATCAGCACACGTCATATTCAAGCCAACACCTCCAGCTTCAATAGATACTATAAAGGCCTCAATCTTGATATTGTTCTGGAATCTGGTGAGTTGCCATGTTCTCTGCTGAGTTTTCATTCCACCGTGCAAGGAGCCGCTTGCAATGCCGTGACAATCCAATGCAATCATGATCCTGTGGGTTGATCAGGTGAGCGTACAGGACAAATGATATTCAAGAGACAGAAAATATAATTACCACTCCGTGAAACACCTCCATTGTGTATAGATAACAGTCTTCTTGCATAGAACTTTATGCAAAGGTGCCTGCTTCTTTTTGGACTGGGAAACCAAGTATGCAAGCTTTCTGCTCAGTGACCAGTCCTCCAGGTAGGCTGGCCTGGCCTCCGCGGTCAATTCCCTCCCGTCAGGCACCATGATTCCTAGCTCCTCCTCGATCTCCGTAATCTTGATCTGATTGAACTACTGTTCTTGTTTGAATAAAAGAGGGTGTTTGCACATCATCCTGAGATTGCTCAATTGTCTGAAATATTCACCCTGTTTATGTTGGATTTGAGAGTCCACACCAAATTCCTGAAGAAATCTTTTATAATGTTGCTGATATACTGGTTTCACTTGAGGATGCATGTCCAACAAAATGGTCTCATGATATATTGGAGGTCAATCGCGTAGGCGGCTAGCTTTTGTCTGCCTCAGCATAAAGTATCTTAGTAGTTGGTTGAGTGTGTCCAAATTTCCTTGATGAACAGGCAGGGTGATTTGACCGTACCATACAGAGTCTTGGTGAAATGGCTTGATGCGCAGAAATTTGAAGAGCATGTGCAAGTCTCCAATTCTGTTATGGAGTGGAGTACCAGTGAGACAGAGCCGGTTGACCAATTCCAAAGGGGTGAGTACTGCATGAGGGCTGGTTTCAATATGAATTACACTGGTACCAGTAGAGGGTCAGCTGGTAAATGTTAACTTGGCAAAAAGAGAGAATACTCACTGAGCTTCATCAATGACCACTCTGTACCACCTGGTTGTAAAAGGGAGCCGGGTTAAACCAGCAAGCCGGTAGTCAAATAAAAGTGGGTTTGGGGTTGTAAGGATGATGTCAGCTGAGTGCCCATCATGTAGAGGTAGTTTGACTCTGCCTGTGCCATGCCAGCACATAATTTTCAAACTGTTTTTCTTAGTGTGTTTTTCCACCTCATTTTCCCAGTTGTCCATGAGGCTAGTAGGACAGATCAAAAGAGTGGTGTGAGATGCATGTAGGTGATTGTTTGCATGGTTGAGGTCTGACGCGGAATCCTGATGTTTGTATTGTCTTGATGCATCCAGTGTGGTAGCAATTAAAGAAATAGTTTGAATAGTTTTACCAAGGCCCATGTCATCTGCTAGAATTGATGCCCTAGGGCTGGCTGGTCCGGCTTGTCCGTCAGTCACAACAAATTCTTCACCACAGAGACGGTGACTCCACCGGCTGAACGGTGGCATTAATTTGTAAAACCAAAGTGAATCTGTATTTTCTCTGTCTAACAAAAAGGCCAGGCCCTGCTTCTGACGTGCCTTGTAGCTGAGAAGTAACTATCACCGATGTATCAACAGGCTGAAGATCTGAACCACATGCAATGGACGCAAGCGTTGAGACCTCTTCCCTGGACAACATGTGATGAT